CTATTCTATTCTATTCTATTCTTTTCTATTCTATTCTATTCTATTCTATTCTATTCTATTATATTTTTCAATTATTTATTTAAAGGTGTTTTATTTATAACGAAAACTTTATTGCTAACTTATGTTTATAAAAAATGGTGTTATTAAACAGCGCTCTTTCACAAATAAAACGTATTAATAGAAATAGAAATTAATTTTCTTATTTCCTATATTTCAGGCATATGTAGCGGACACACACAACAGTAATAATATCAACAAATACATTAGTCCATTGACAAATATTTACTAGATAGTTTATTTAGTTTTAAACACTGCAGAACAAACAATGTCATTTGTTAATAACACATTTGCATCTCGTACTAATTGCATAGAATAACGTGACGATTAATGTTAACGAGTAGTTCAGTAGTTATTATTGAAACAATTCAACACACTAAAACATAAATAATCCTTTAATATATCACTATAGCAAAATATACGGTTCGTTTAGAAACAGATTAGATAATAATGTTAGCAATACCTAATGTATTTAATTTATGTATATTTTAATAAATGTAATGACTGTTATTAGTATTTATTTACCAAAATATTTATTTTTTAATGTTCTGAAGTGAATGAACTCCATACTATTTATTAGTAATATATCATTCTGTGATTTGGTCAATGATGTGACATAAAAATAATCCTAGCCTAAAAAATAGAATGGAAAATGAGCTTCCGAGATCATAAATCAAGATTAAAAGGCGGCAGAAAAGTTCAACTACCTGCTGATAAAAAAATCTGAATTGTCTTCAGTGTTTGTATGGTCTACAAATATAAACAACCCCTACTGAAAGTATGGATTTTAATTTAATGCAATAATTACGAGGTGCGTTTATATGCGCAACTTTTTGTCCGGCATTTTAGAAGATCTGAGCAAGTTAAAAACAATATCTCCTCATTGTGCCAGTTATATAAGTTTTCTTCAGGGCATAAGACAACTGACAATACATTCAAAGGGGGAAAAAGCATATGTTTGCCTCGTATATTTATCTTACGTTCCCTGAATTTTGCACGCTTGTTGAACATACAAAAAATCGCGTACGGTACTATAAACATACCCGCAGAATGATTTTAGACATGCATTAATCACAATTATTGAGTATCTTTATTTTGCTGGACAAAACAGGAAAAGTACATTTTCTGATGTTTACATGTTCCCCGTGATGTTTCTTTGCGAAAAATTAAAGGAAATTGTTTTAATTTAGCGTTACGCTTTGTCACTTCCTGAATGGATCTACTTGTTCTATTATTATAATCTTACTAAAAGTGCAATTTCTTGTCTTTAAAACCCCAGACTTATTGTTAAACTATTTTAGATCAAGTTTCTGTTTCTTGACTTATGGGAACAGATGTACGTAACTATGTCGACTTTTCTCTACGCAAAAATTGTTTTCATGGAAATTTTATAGATAAATATTACTGGTACTTATCTAATGTATCTTTACAATTTCAATTTTATGAGACAAATTTAAAATAAACTAAAAAAGATGTACATACAAAGTTTTTAGTTAAAACTCATCATATAACCTGAACGAATTTTAAATAACAGATAAGAAATTAAATATAAGACAATTTCTGTACACAATTATAAACAAACAGTGTTTATCACAGAAGCTTTAACCAAAAGGCTATTGCTTGTACGTGAATAACACGACACCTTACTTACGAAAATCATCACAACTAAATAAAATAACATATATAACATATTTTATAAGGATATGGATCCATTATCGCAAGGTAAGTATAACTATTACCTGTTGTGATTAATAAAGTCATGAAAAAAATTCTTCCTGTGTTCAAAATCCATTTTTTTACGTTCTTTTTGTAATTATTTAAGTTATTAATCCGTTTTATATTTTCAGGCAGTTTACTGAAGTCTTGGAGCTAAGTAGTCGTATATTGCCCGATTGTTTTTACACATCGCGGTCTGTAAATTCTATTTTCATTGCTTCTAGTCTGATAAGCGTGAGATACATATTTAATGGATATTACATTTCTTTTTGCGGTGGTTAACAGGGTGAGGCAGTACAGTTGTCTAGGATCAAAAATATTTGCTTCTGAAAACAGAGTATCACTGGAATAAATTAATGGTCTTCCATAGATAATTTTTAATATCCATTTTTGGATGACATTAAGGTTATTTAGATGCACATCTAAAGAAAGTACTATCGGCGTATTTTGAAGAATTTGAAGGATTCTACGCTATGGACACAATAAAAAAAGGTATAGCCATTAAAACATACAGTAGTCTGATAGAATTTTCGAAAAGGCATTCTGATGGATACCACGCTAAGAAATCAAACGTTTTTTCAAAAGTAAATATTGCGAAGTTTTTGACGGAGGCGGATGACAATAATTTTTTAATGGCTAAAGTAACTAATAATTGCTTCATTTAGTTGTCAGTTTACTAATTCGCATTTTTTGCTTTAGGTTGTGTTGGTTGCGGGAACATTTTTACGTGTTGAAGATGTTGCAGATGAGGAGACGTATTTTCGAGTAAATATTCCAAATACAAAAACTAGAGTAATCCGTGAATTTGTAATCACCCCGGGAGATATAGAAGGACTAAACTTCGTTGACATTATCAGGAAGTATAGAAACCTACGCCCGGAAAATATTAAACACAATAGATTCTTTGTTAGACATAGAAAAGGTAAATGTGGTGTAAAACTAGTAGGAATTAATACTATTGGTCAGTTGCCAAAGATGATTGCTCAAATTATTGGTTTGCCGAATTGTGCATTATTCACGGGGCACTGTTTCAGAAGATCTTCGGTCACTTTACTTGCAGATTCTAGGGCCAACATTTTAAAAATAAAACAACACGGTGGCTGGAAGTCAAATTTTGTTGCAAAAGGATATGTTGAAAATTCTATAGAAAATAAAAAAACAATTTCCGGTGATATTCTTGGAGAACCGAGTAAAACCAATAACATATCACGGAATATTACTGTTCAACAAATAAGATTTCTTCTGGAATTAGTTTCACTAACTGTACCAACTGCGTTGTGAATATTTATAATTAAATAATAATAATTAATAAAGTGTTATTTATAAAATTACTGACTTAAATGAAAGTTACTTTAATATTTTTGTGTTGTATTCTGTTAATTCTTTTTTATACGACTGCTTTGCAAACCTTTTGCTCTGAATTTTGCACACGGTTATGTCATCTTTGCACACGCGTCTCCAGATTGTGATTCTTGTTTGATGTTGTCACCCAAATTATGCAACGATTCAAGTTGGCTGAGTTTCATAGCAACCGTCACAGCTCCTTTATTTTGTTGATTAGATTGTGTAATTCTGAAGAGATTTTACAGAAAGTAAGCGAAATATGTTCCGAACTTCTGCCCACAAAATCCAGAAGCAGGTATGAAGCTGAGTTAAGCCGATTTAAGGACTGGCGACTAGCCAAAAATGTCCAAACTTTCTCAGAAAACGCAGTAATGGTGTATTTTGAAGAACTAAGAAATATAAATCTTCGACCTTCGGCGTTGTGGGCGATTTTTTCGATGCTCAAAAAGTTGCAAGCGTTAATCAAACGAAAATCCGAAAACTACGTCCCAAAGAAGTCCTAAATCCTCACAGAAGATGATTGACGAAAGCATCAGACGACAAATATTTACTTATCAAGGCGGTGGTGGCAGTTGGATTATCTGGGGCATGTCGAAGGGAGGATTTATGTTATCTCAAAATAGAAGACACCAAAGATTTCGGCAGTGCTATGCTGATTAAACTGAAGAATACAAAAACAAAGGTACCAAGGTGTTTTACAATTACAGGAAACCTTTACACTTACACTCTTAAAAAAAGTACTGTGCTCTTCGTCCTCCTAATCTGAAGACAGGCAGGTTTTTTTAAACTATCAAAACGGAATATTTTCAAGCCAAACCGTTGGCATCAACAAAATTGGAAACATGGATAGGTAAATCGCCAAGTTTTTGATGCTAGAGAATACAGAAAGTTACACGGGACATTGTTTTCGGCGTTCATCGGCCATAATTTTAGTCAATTCTGGCTCAAATCTGCTTGTCCTCAAACGCCATGAAGGGTGAAAATCCAGTACAGTTGCCGAAGGCTACGTTGATGACTGTTTGAGAAATAAAATGGAAGTTTCGAAAAAGATAGAGTCTTCAGTGTCTTCTGCTGCCACAGAACCAGAACAACGATCGTCTACTGGAATACAACAAGAAAACAACGACCGCACGCTGAAAAACTGCACTAAAAACACAACACCAAAAATATTCTCTATTACCGAAAACAAGGTGCACAATAATACTGCTTTTCCCAGCGTAACCTTGAAGGAATGTTCAAATGTTACCATAAATATTAAATATTAGTTTCTTTTGTTAATGCGTTAGCAATTTTCTTAATAAAAACGAGTTAAATTAAAAGTTGTATTTAATTTATTTTGTTCATGCGTTGGCAATTTTAGTAATAAAAACGATTTAAATTAAAATTTGATTTGTGTGGTCTCTGTTTGCAGTCGTATAAATAGTATCGTAAAAAACTCGTTTGAAAACCTCTTTGCACACTCGCACGACTTGTGGACCTCGCCTTCGGCTCGGTCCACCAATATGTCGCGCTCGTGTGCAAAGAGTCGTTTTCAATCCTTGTTGTTTAATATACTATTTTGCAATTAGTGACATAACGAACTTTTCGTAACCAGTTGCATAATGGTTTTCATTATATAACTAGTTACATAAAGCAGAACGTTTTGACACTTGTTTCGATAACAAAAGATGTTAGTTTATATGTCAAAATTAGAAAAAAACAATTTGAAAGCCTGACGAAATTGTCATTTAGATAACCATCAATGATTTAAGAATATTTTAGTAGACGCAAAAGTCAATCCTTCAAATCAGGTCGGAAAATGTTTCATAAAAATTTAAACGGGAAGGTTAAAAAACACATGACACATCTGTTCCATTATAAGGGAAACGTAAAAGGGGACATACTTTTCTTTACTTCGGGCCATTTTTCTCTGGGAATCCTCTCATCCTCGTATTCAACTCCGGCATAAGCGAAAATGAAACGAATGTGCTCCGCCCGCCCTCTGGCATTGAAATACATCAGCTTGTAGTGTGGCGACATGCTATTTTAAACCTGAAACAATAAGATGCTTTAGAATGTGCCCGTGCTGGCTGCTAAGATATTTTAAAGCACGTGTAGGTGCTTATTCATACATAATCCTTGACGGGTATCTTATCCATCACCCTCGTGTTATTTAACCCGAAGCCGGTATACAAACTGCGTTGTCATTAAGCTCAGTTACATTTATGATAATGGTTAAGATACACCCACTCCTAAATGGTACACCGAGAATTATAAAATTGAATTGAAAGGTGTTGTGAGAGCTTTCGAAATGGTGCAATATTACTTGATCAATTAAGAAAGTTACAGGCCACGAAAGTGTAATGGCTTATTCAATCAACTTTTTATTTGGCCGGTGGCCGAGCGGTTTAACGTGTCAGTACTTGAATCGATGTGTGCAACTGTCGTGACTTATCTTATCGACGGATATTAGCCACCGATCGGGATGCCTCAAGACACTCTGTTTTTGTGATTTTCTGTAGGAAACCTTCATGTGCGTCAAGAAAAACAAGCTTCAATATTTTATTTAAATTATTACATGAAAATATTAATAGATGTAGATGTATTATTCTCTTAATAAATCTTAAATCAGTTTCAAATAATATTATACTTTTCCTTTCAAGAAAAGATTATTTTAATTTTAACCCGACGTGTTCTAACAGTTATTTATGAAGTGTTAAAAGTGATATTTTATTTTGTGAGTGGGGAATATTGCGGAAGGACAAATAAAATAAAATCAATTTTAACAAATGTATCATACAATATTTTTTGTAACTGTTATTAAAAAAAATACCGTATGTGGGTATTGAACTCCTGATTTATCGCTTACGTGTCGGACGCACTGAGCCACCCGTTCATGTTGTTTGATTGAAAAAAAAAAAATAAAATAATAAAAAAGCACCGCCTAATTCAAATAGATGTGTATTTTACAATAATAAAGTTAGAGCGATAAAATTTATAGGGGACATAACTAAAACTCTAAGCTTCCTTGCCATAATTTCAAAATGACTTAATTTCATACACACAGGATGGTAGAAATTTAATTCCGAATTTAGTAAACCTTAAACCATTTTAAGTTATTTTTTTTTAAATGGAACACCCTGTATATTTTTGTCTAACCTGATGAACAATTTTGTTCTCTTTCGAATGGTACAATGGTTCTCTATACCTATCTCTTCTAATTTTTAAGGTATTTACTGTTTAAGCACCAATCTGTCACCAGTTTATTGTTGTCAATTTAACACATACAGTGAATTGATTATTATTTATTGTTAAAGAATGGAAAATGTTAATATTTATTCAAATGCTGATATTCTAAATTTACTATTAATTCATGGAGAGTGTCACAAGATAATAAATACAACTTGCAGAGTATCTAATGAATGTACTCATTGACTACCAATCAGTAGGGATAAATTGAAAATAATAAGATAACAGAATTAAAATAAATAATACGAATAATAATTATTTTCAGAAATGTAATTATTTTGCTAGAACCGACCCCCATCTACCTGTAATCAGTTGTGTATTCTTCTTATTACCCCACCTGTAACAGCTCTGGATATTTGGGCAGCAGGTAAAGTTTCAAAGGTTTCTCTTATACGGGAAACTAGGTTTTCTTCAGAATAAACAGGCGTTGAGTATATTTTTTCTTTTATTGCACCCCAGATATAAAAATCTGTTGGTGAGAGATCTGGAGATTGTCTTTAACGAAGCAAAATACGTTGACACTAAACGTAAATTTCTTTCACGGATGATATGTGGATTTTCTGATGCCCAAAAGTGTCGGTTGTGTCTATTAAAAGTACATTCATTACTAAATTTTGACTCATCTGTCCAAATGATTTTACGTAAAAACTCTGGATCTTTTTATGTCTTAAAATCGTATGCTACAGTCTTCCAGGCTGAGGTTTTTGCTATTTTGATGGTAGCAAGCAAGGAGGAGGTAAGGAATTGTGCAGAGGAGAAGATTTTTATCTGCTCCGACAGTCAGGCCGCGCTCAGAGCGGTTAGCTCCCCGAGGACTAGGTCTGCCCTTGTCCAAGAATGTGGAGACGCTCTAGAGTCTTTGGCCAGACGAAAAGAAGTAGAGTTGGTTTGGGTCCCAGGCCATAGGGGCATCCCTGGTAACGAGAGGGCGGATCAATTAGCTCGTCTTGGGTCCAGGGGACCTGGACAGGGACCTGAACCAATCTTAGGTATCACACGAGGCAGCATTAATGGGGCCCTCAATAAGTGGGCCTATCAAACTTTAGGTCTGGATTGGAGGAGAAATAGAGGATGCAGGCAGGCCCATAGTTTTATACATGGACCTAGCAAATCCAAGACAAGATGGCTGCTGAGCCTCAGTCGAAGAGCCCTAAACCAAATGGTGGGGGTTCTGACAGGCCACTGCAGACTTAGGAGGCATTTAAGCTTAATAGGAATTGAGGAGGACCCTCTATGCCCGAAATGTGGCGAAGGGGAGGACACCCCTGTCCACCTTCTGGGACAGTGTGCAGCCTTTGGGAGAATAAGACATAAAGTCTTTGGTGCTGAAGAGCTGCAAGGGGCTGAGGTGAGAGACCTTCCATGGACCAAAATCCTGGCGTTCATTAGGGCGTCGGGTAGGTTCGAGGAGGGTCAGACGCAGAGAGTGGTCAGGTGATAGGACGGCGGGGTAGGCAAAAAGGGCCCACTCGTGACCTAATTGCCAGGCTGAGGCCGCCCCTTTACTACTACTACTACTACTATGTCTTAAAATCACTTCACAGAATTGGGTTCGTCTTTCAGCATCCCTGGGATGAAGTGCAGGTACAAAATTAAATTTAAATGGATTGCTAACTATTAGTTTTCAAAATCTTTTAGATGGAGGTTTTTGAAATGCCTAAATGCTGTTCAGCAGCACGAACTGATGATTCAGGGTAAGCATGAAAATGTCCAAAACATTGACTTCATCTAAAGTTATCGGCTTTGGCAAAATTCTATGTGCAGAAATTCGACCATGTTCTAATTTCTTAAAATTCTTCGTAGAATGTGTCTACTCATTGATGGTAAATCAGGATATCTCTCATTAAATACCCTGCAAGTCGTATTTATTATCTTGTGATACTCTCCATGAATAAATAATAAATTGAAAATGTTAGCATTTGAATAAATGTTAACGTTTTCCATTCTTTATCAATAAATAATACTCAAATAAACATTCACTGTATGTGAACAACAATAAACTAGTGACAGATTAGGTGCTTGTTTTGAAGTTCCACTAAAAATTTCACAGGCATCCTCGCAAAAAATTATGCGATATCCGTTGACTGCATGAAAAACAGTAAATACATTAAAAACTAGAAGAGATAGGTATAGGGAACCATTATACCATTCGAAAGAGAACAAAATTGTTCATCAGGTTAGACAAAAAAAATTTACAGTCTTCCATTTAAAAAATATAAGTTAAGATGGTTTAAAGTTGCATAAATTCGGCATTAAATTTCTATCACTCTGTATGAGGTTAAGTCATTTTGAAATTGTGGCACGTAAACTTAGAGTTTTAGTTATGTCCCCTATAAATTTTACCGCTTTATCTTTATTATTGTAAAATACACATCTTTTTGAATTAGGTAGTGCTTGTTTATTTTTTTTTTTTTGAAAAAAATTAAATATATCAAAAACGGTTAACTTTAAGAATAGGAAATCTTTATGAAATATCATCTAGAAATTAACATAGATCCAAAATTGCAATAATATCCAAGGTGTTCCATTTAAAATAACGAAGATGACGTCAACTTCCGGTATAACCGGAAGCGTTAGGTGAACGCACTTATTTTAGTTGAGAAAGACATACCCAAAAACACTATTGCCCAAATTTTCAAATTAAAATCGAAGTAGTCTCTGAAATATGTCTAATGTCCCGGCACTGTGGGACACCCTGTATATCAAGTCAAGTACTGTATAAGGGATTACTAAGTAAAACAGTTGTAAGTTGTTTAGTGTTTATTAGTAACTACAATTAAAACTGTCCATAAATATATTGTAAATTTTGTATATGAAAAAATCGATTTTGAATAAAATACCTACGGAAAATGAAAGTAATTTTATTTTTCTATCAGATGTTGAGGAAGCCGCAAATAGGTCAACTATAGATCTATTGCCCCAGAAATTGCGGCAAAAATATGATATAGCACATAAAAGATTTATTGATATATTAAAATGAAGAAAGTAGCAGATAAGTTCACTGAAAATATACTTTCCGCTTACTTCGAACAAAAATGTAAGTTATGAAAGGCGTCAATACTGTGGTCTAATTTATCTATGATAAAACCTAGTTTGCAAATCAAGAACAACGTGGAGTTTGTTGTAAGCGGGAGCCAATGGCTCCTCTAGCTGTTGCACTAGGTGTTGCGAGTATAATTCAATGCCGGTAGGGGCAAATAGCTCTCGGAGTAGTTGTTTCTCGCAGCACTGACTAGTCAAAGAACGTGGAGTATTATAAGCTAATAGTGTTTCTAAAACCAAAAACTGTAGAATATTGGCCAAAAAAATCTAAAATATTTACTAACCAACAAATTAACACATTTTTGAATGAAGCTCCAGATACCAAATATTTATTAATGATAGAAGTTGCATCAATCTTTGGTTTATTTGGAGCATGTTGTGAAGAACTTCGTAAATTAACATTGGATGATATTGATAAATCAGAAAACTCCTTATTGATTCATATTATGAAGACTAAAACCAATGTTCGTCGTAGTTTTTGTATCGTATACATCAATTATTACAGGTACCATAAACGCATTAAGGCCAGCCGCCGTTACCATCCGTCACTTTTTTCTAAATTACGTTAACGACAAATGTACTGTTCAACCTGTTGGGATAAATACTTTTGGGAAAATTCCTACAATATTACCGAATTTCTGAAATTGAGAGATTCTAAGCTGTTTACTGGCCAGGATTGTTCGGGTTGTAATATTAATAATAATGTTTCTAAATAAATAATTAATAAAAATATATTTTTTCTAAATCTATCAATACAGCAA